TAGCACATGCCTGTAATCCCAGCCACCCAGGAGGCTGAGGCAGAAGAATCACTGGAACCTGGGAGTCAGAGGCTGCAGTGAGCTAATATCGCACCACTGCACTCCAGCCTGGGTGACAGAGATTCTGTCTCAAATAAATAAACAAATAAAATTAAAATCAGGCAGGAATAATACTAATGCATATTAAAAGACAACAATAACCATGACAGCTAACATATTAAACTTCATAGCTGGCCGGGCACAGTGGCTCATGCCTGTAATCCCAGCACTTTGGGAGGCTGAGGTGGGCAGATCACAAAGTCAGGAGTTCAAGACCAGGCTGGCCGACATGGTGAAATCCCATCTCTAATAAAAATTACAAAAATTAGCTGGGCATGGAGACTCGTGCCTGTAATCCCAGCTACTTGGGAGGCTGAGGTAGGAGAATTGCTTGAACAGGGACCCGGGAGGCAGAGGTTGCAATGAGCCAAGATTGTGCCACTACACTCCAGACTGGGCTACAGAGCAAGATTCCATCTTAAAAAAAAAAAAAAAGTAATAGTTGACAGCATTTTCACACATTTTATCAATTCAAGTTCATCTCCTTCTCACATTGCTGCTGACCCTTAGGAAGAGTTTCTTACACCAGTGCTATTTCAAGTGTGGTTTGCTAACTGGGCAGGATCTCAGCTTACTGCAACTTCTGCCTCCCAGCTTCAAGCAATTCTCCCACCTCAGCCTCCCAAATAGCTGGGATTACCAGCACCTGCCAACATGCCTGGCTAATTTTTGTATTTTTAGTAGAGACAGGGTTTCACTACATTGGCCAGACTGGTCTTGAACTCCTGTGATCTGCACGCCCCCCCTTGCCTTCCCAAAGTGCTGGAATGATATGCCTGCCTTGTCCTCCTAAAGTTCTGGGATGACAGGTGTAAGCCATTGTGCTGGCTTCATTTTTATTATTGTATTTCATCAGTGTTTCAGGCTTCAATGGGTTGAAAGCATGAGCAAGCGCACGCGTGCGTGTGCGCACACACACACATACACACACACACCCTGGTTTTTTCCACTGCCAAACCTTTGAGAAACATGGCCCCAAAGCACCAAAGCAGACAGAAGGCATGAAAGTGGTAAATGTGGAGAGCTAGAAGAGAAAGCTCACACTTAATAGTTCCCACCTGGAATAAATGCTTTCATTAAATTGTATTTAATCCTCCCAATAACCCAATAGGATTGGTGTTACGATCTTAACTTTACAGAAGAGGACAGCAAATTCAGAGAAGAAAATGAACTTGCCCAAACATGGCAAGGATCAAACCAAGGTTTGTCAGAATTCTGTTTTTCTAAAATATTTATGCTGAATTAATTGCCATATCAGTGCCCTTTTCTCTTTGATGAATATCTAAAAGAAAAAAAAATCACAGTTTATCGGGAACCAGTTGCTCCTGGGCTCACAGTTATGGACGTGTCCTTAGGACTTGGCTCAACAATTTTTCCCTAAGTTAGAAAAAGGGCCTGTCTTCTTACCCAGTGGAGCCAGGTATGCGTCATATGTCAAAAGAAAGGTTAAGGCTGGGCACGATGGCTCACGCCTGTAATCCCAACACTTTGGGAGGCCAAGGTGGGCGGATCACTTGAGATTGGGAATTCAAGACCAGCCTGACCAACATGGAGAAACTGTGTCTCTACTAAAAATACAAAATTAGCTGGGCATGGCGGCACACACCTGTAATCCCAGCTACTCGGGAGGCTGAGGCAGGAGAATCACTTGAACCCAGGAGGAGGAGGAGGTTGCAGTGAACTGAGATTCCGCCATTGCACTCCAGTCTGGGCAACAAGAGTGAAACTCTGACTCAGGAATTAAAAAAAAAAAAAAAAAAAAAAAGAAGGTTAAAACAATAACCAAACCAATCCCTATTTCCTGTTCGCATATACCTAAACACACAACCCCCCACCCCACCACACACACATACTTCTTGTCAGGCAAGAAAAATAAATCACACTCTCTCACTGTCGCTGGAATAATAGCATCAGTTATTTTCCTGACTTGAATTTTCTTTTCTTTATGTTAAGGTGCTTTTTTATCTTAAAATTTGTGTTATTAACATGGATCTTAGAAACTTTACGTAGTAGAAATTTCCCTTTCCTTCCTTCCTTCCTTCCTTCCTCTCTTTCTTTCTCTCACTTTCTCTCTCTCCTTTTCTCTTTCTTTCTTTCATGTCAGGGTCTTGCTTTGTTACCCACACCAGACTGCAGTGGTGTGATCACAGCTCACTGTAACCTTGAACTCTTGGGCTCAAGTGATCTTTCCACCTCAGCCTCTCAAGTAGCTTGGACTACAGGTGTGCACCACCATGCCTGGGTAATTTACAAGTTTTTTTTTTTTTTTTTTAAGAGACAGGGTCTTGCTATGTTGCCCAGGCTGGTATTGAACTCCTGGTCTCAAGCAATCCTCACTCTCTAGCTTCCCAAAGAACGAGATTATATGTTATTTTATGTAAGCCACACAACACCTCTATGAAGTAGGAATGATTATTCCTGTTTTATTGATAGGAAAGGGAGGCCAAGAGAAGTAACAAGCACAAGGTTGCAAAATTAGCAAATGACAGAATCGGGATAGAAATTGCATGTTTGACTGAGAAGCTGGTACAAACTCTTGATATTCTATGTAGTAGTTATAAGATTAAAACATGGCCGGGCGCGGTGGCTCAAGCCTGTAATCCCAGCACTTTGGGAGGCCGAGGCGGGTGGGTCACCAGGTCAAGAGATCGAGACCATCCTGGTCAACATGGTGAAACCCCATCTCTACTAAAAAATACAAAAAATTAGCTGGGCATGGTGGTGCGTGCCCGTAATCCCAGCTACTCAGGAGGCTGAGGCAGGAGAATTGCCTGAACCCAGGAGGCGGAGGTTGCGGTGAGCCGAGATCGCGCCATTGCACTCCAGCCTGGGTAACAAGAGCGAAACTCCGTCTCAAAAAAAAAAAAAAAAAAAAAAATAAGATTAAAACATGAGCAACAGACACCTTTTAATCTCATTAACTCTGGGACTTCTATTCAATGATTTATATATTTTATGCAGAATAGGCTCTTAGAATCATAGTCACCTAGAACCAGGTCTTCATTGGTCTACACCTCTATTGTGGCCTATTTAAAAAGTTAAGTAACTTAAATAATTTCTTTTGGCAAAAGAGTCGCCTAACACCTGTCTTATGCAGATTAAGAGCTGGTCTGCTCACGGATGCTCAAGGGAGAGCGGGACAACTATTCTCTTTCTGGAGTGGTGCTGAGCATGGCCTTGGGAATCTACAGAACCAGGGCATCAGGGTCACCTAACTTTCTGCGCAAATTACTTCATCTTTCCACACTTAAGCTTTCTAATTTGTAAGTTGAAAATAATATCAAACTCCAGAGTTTTTGTGAGGATAAATGAAATAACATAAAGAAGGTGTTGGCCAGGTGCAGTGGCTCACACCTGTAATCCCAGCACTTTGGGAGGCTGAGGCTGGTGAATCATGAGGTCAGGAAATCGAGACTATCCTGGCCAACATGGTGAAACCCCATTTCTACTAAAAATACAAAAAATTAGTCGGGCGTGGTGGCATGCGCCTGGAGTCCCAGCTACTCAGGAGGCTGAGGCAGGAGAATCGCTTGAACCCAGGTGGCAGAGGTTGCAGTGAGCCCAGATCGCGCCATTGCACTCCAGCCTGGGTGACAGAGCAAGACTCCATCTCAAAAAGAACAACAAAAAACAAGGTGTCTGGCACCATATAAAGCATAGAATAAATACTCAACACACATGAATACTGCCATAAGCATTACTTGGCCTTCCTGCAGACCAATTCTGACTCTGCATGAAACAGAAAAACAGAATATTTATTTGGTACTAATCAAAGTTCCTTTCATAATCTCTTACAGGTAAACAGTACCATTGTATCCCCATTTTAAGAGGCAGTCTTTCAGTCTTTTCAAAGCCTAACTTTGAAGCCACAATGGCCTGGGTTTGATTTCTTCTTATACTTATTATCTGCTTGCCTTAGACAAATAACTTCACATCTCCAAGCCTGCATCCTGATGCAAAACAAACACAATACCCATTTTATGATTTACTATAATAATTAAATGAGGTAATAACATATCTGAAGTATCTTTAATGTCAAAAAGTGGTAGCCACAATTATTATTTTTTAATTAATTATTTATTTTGAGATGGAGCTTTGCTCTTGTTGCCCAAGCTGGAGTGGAATGGTGGAATCTTGGCTCACTGCAACCTCCACCTCCTGTATTCAAGCAATTCTCCTGCCTCAGCCTTCTGAGTAGCTGGTATTACAGGCACACGCCACCCATGCCCAGCTAATTTTTTGGATTTTTAGTAGAAACGGGGTTTCACCATGTTAGCCAGGCTAGTCTCGAACTCCTGACCTCAGGTGATCCATCCTCCTCGGCCTCCCAAAGTGCTGGGATTACAGGTGTGAGCCGCCGCTCCCGGCCCAAAATTATTTTTATTTTGTAAAGGACAACTAAACACATTTAAATAGGACATTACAGGAGTGGAGCTGGATCCCAGGTCAGCCGGATTCCCAGGCCGGCATTCCTTATTGATTACGTCATAAGGCAAACAAGTTGGCTTTGGTGAGAGAAGCTGGAGCCAGAAGAAGGCTTAATTTCTTCATGCTCTGTAGTGACAATGTATAACGGTCAGTTATCCATTTGGCTATATTGTTATTATGTTTTGCTCTCTGGCAACTTGGGGTACAGAACGTACAATAAAAACGCCTTCACACTTCCCTAGTAACCACCAGGCCTGTCCCCAGGATTCCACAATGAGCTTTGTGGGAAAAGAGAGCTCACCAAATTCAGCCTCCAGCCGCACGCACAGCTAGGTTGCAGCGCCCCGCCCAGGTGTTTATATTTTCCTCCCTCGGCTCCGCCCCGCGACCACGAGGGCTCTAGCCACGCCCCCAAGCTCGTGTTTCTGAGGCCGGACTAGCCCAGCGCTTCTGCCTACCTACAGGGATTCCCGCTCCAGCCAATCCGGTCAGAGCAGTGGAGCTGCCCCGAACAAAGATGGCGGGGGAGGCGTCAGTGAGGGCAGACTGATCCGAACACCCAAACGCTCGGCGGACAGCGGAGCCAGTGGTAGCGGCGCGGCTCCAACCATGGAAGAGGGCAGCAGCGCTGGCAGCGCGGGCAGTGACAGCAGCACTAGCGGGAGTGGCGGGGCGCAGCAAAGGGAGCTGGAGCGCATGGCTGAGGTCTTGGTCACTGGGGAACAGCTACGGTAAGGCAAGAGACACAGCGGGTGGGCTCACGGTGGCACTGCCAACCCGTGCCCGCTGCAGTCCTGCGTGCACGCGCGCCCTGGCTCGTGGCTTGCGACTCGCGTGGGGCGCCTGGACAGCTGCGGGCGCCCCACGTGGATGGTCGTCTGTGCGCCCGCGCTCAGCGGCTGCAGCCCAGCTCCCTGGGGACTCGCCACGCGGGGCTGCTGCGTAGAAGCCAACGAGCGGGTGGCGCGCGCTGCGCCCTAGCCTGGCTGCTGCAGCCCTGTGCGGGGCAGAGTCCCTGCCACCCACCGCGCTCTCCCTCTTCCCGGGTACCTGCACGCCGCCAGGCCTCCCGGCTGACAGCCTGCTCCTCGTCTTCCAAGAGAGCAAGAGGGGTTGATGTGGGGTCCCGAGGCGACCCCAGCCCCTCTACTTCTTGGCGAGAGGAGCAAGACCAACGATCGCCTTCACTAGGTTTTCCTTTTTGCTGACAAGTCTTCCTTCACTCCCCTGAGCTTCGGCGTTTTCCACCTGTAAAACAGGGCTGGTCACTGCGCCTCATTTGAAGGGCTTTTGTGGCGCTAAACGGAGAGAGCATTTCTGAAACCCTGCACCTATCAGTTAACAGGCACATAGTCCTCAATCATTTTGGTCCGCAAGGGGGCGTGGAGGCAACTTGTCGGGCTGCCTTGAGGCTGTGCCAGCTCCCCGGGCTCGCACGTTTGGGGCAGCGGGATTCACGAGGACCCTGGCTGCTGCAAGAATTAGGACTTGCCCGGTCTCACGGAACTTGAGAACAAGCGAGGATCCCCAGACCCCTCCTTGCAGTTTCCATCCCTGTGTGGTCCTTCCTTTAGGGCTGTTTGGCAATCGGACTTACGGTCTAACTCGTTCTGCAGCCGCCCTTCGTGTGGTCATAAATCAGTTTGTCAGGGAAAAAGAAATCCCAACTCTGCAGCGTTTGAGCCACAATTTGTGAGGGCCCCTGTTCCTTCTAGTTCTTAGCTTGAATTCCCCTACTCATTTTGGTTTCCAAATGGCTGTGCTTCAGGACCTGAAAGAGTATCTTGCAAAGATCTCGGAAGGAGACCAATATAGGAAGTCAGAATTAACTGATTTTTAATGTTACAAAAGGCAAATTGCACGTATCCATTCTTTGTCGATTTTTTAAAACATGTGGTCGAAATTAAAGGGAATACAAACTTGTTTTCCTTCATCAAGAGTACTTTCTAATGAAAACATTAAAATAAGACTTTTCTGATTTAATCTGAAACATTTTCTAAGTTTAATTTCTTTGCTTTTCATTACTGGGCCATCTTTTTAAAAGTCTTCCGTTGGATAGCGTTACTTGTTTTTCGTTTCTTTTACAAATACTAAATTTCATGATGGCTCTTTTTGTCCAGCAAGCACTTTTTCCTTCAAAATGCGGTTTTTAAATGCGCCTTCTTCACAGTCCCCAGAGCACCTGTTATTCCCCTCTTTTCTAGCACCTCTCTTCACTGCAGCAGTTTTGAGCACCATCTTTTCACTCAGGAGATAGACCTGGGTTTGAATGACTGCTTCACCATTGTGTAGGCAAGTATCAGTGTTAAGTTGTTTCAAGGAGGACTTTAAGCTAGACTGAATCTTAGCTTTGCTACTTACTAGTGTGGGACCTTGGAAAAGTTATCACACCTGTAATCAGCACTTTGGGAGGACAAGGTGGGTGGATCCCTTGAGGCCTGGAGTTTGAGACCATCCTGGCCAACATGGTGAAACCACTTCTCTACGAAAAATACAGAAATTAGCTGGGCATGGTGGCACAGGCCTGTAGTCCCAGTTACTCAGGAGGCTGAGGCAGGAGACTTGCTTGAACCTGGGAGGTGGAGGTTGCAGTGAGCCCAGATCATGCCACTACTCCAGCCTGGTGACAGAGTGAGACTCTGCTTCAAAAAAAAAAAGAAGAAGAATGGTGGATAATAGTGGAATTTACCTCAGAGTGTTACAATGAGGATTAGGTGAGTTAGTGCTTAGAACAGTTTCTGATAGATATATATTAAGCACCAGGTCAACATTAACTAAGGTGGAATTCTGTGACCTTGGATAAGTAAATTCACTCCTCTGAGTCTCTGTTTCCACATTTGAAAAACACAGATGAATGTATTTCATATAGTTGTTGTGAGAATTTGCCCCTGGGCTTCATGAGTTAATGATCATTCAACAAATACTTCCTGGAATTAATTAGGATTATTGGTCTCTCTGCATCACCCTATGTGACTTCCAGCCAAGCAAGATCTGGCAGGAAAGATTGTGTGGTGGTGAAGATCACAGGATAGAGAACTAGGCTGCCTGGGTTCTTATTCTGCCTCCACCATTTATTCTGTAACTTTAGGACAATACGTTTAGCCTCTCTGTGCCTCAGTTTCCTTTTCTATGAAATGTTACTCTTATGACACTCCTCTTTCAAGAAAAGGCTTGGTAAATATTAGCCATTTAATTCTACTTTGGAAAATTTTAATCATTGCTCTTTTTTTTTTTTAAAAAATCTCAACTGTTTTGGCACCGTAACTAGCACATAGTAACTACTTAGTAAGAAGTTCAGTGAATATTGTAAGTATTCGATATACTTCTATTAGTACAGAGTAATATAATAGTCAGAATTTAGGAATTAAAGTGGTCATACGCCTGGTTCCCTAGTTATTGGAGGGTTAGGAAGTTCAGTCATTATTGTCACTTTCTTTCTTTTTTTTTTTTTTTTTTTTGAGACAGTCTCTCACTCTGTTGCCCAGGCTGGAGTGCAATGGCGTGATCTCGGCTCACCGCAACCTCCGCCTCCTGGGTTCAGGCAATTCTCCTGCCTCAGCCTCCTGAGTAGCTGGGATTACAGGCACGTGCCACCAGGCCCAGCTGATTTTTTGTATTTTTAGTAGAGACGGGGGCTTTCACCATGTTGACCAGGATGGTCTCGATCTCTTGACTTCGTGATCCACCCGCCTCGGCCTCCCAAAGTGCTGGGATTACAGGCGTGAGCCACCGCGCCCGGCCTTTTAGGGATTTTTTTTTTTTCTCGTATTGTCACTTTCACAAAGCGTTCTTCTGTCTGCAGCTACCCTCTCTCTGCAGGATTGTTAAGTGCTTTGTAATGTGCAAGCCTCCTGCCTCTAAGTGCTTCACACACTCCCAGTTCCCCTCTGCTTTTTCTTGCTTTACATTACATTCTGGGTCATCAAAGATGAGGTGGAGGAGATAAGAGGAAACCAAGGACTGGGACTGGAAATAAAAAATTTGGCCTCGAGCCCCAGTTCTGTCAATTTCTTTTCCTTTCTTTAATTGTAGCTATGTCCCCTTAAGCAAGTCACTTAACCTCGCTAGTTCTTAGCACCCTTTCCTACAGAATGGGGATAATAATATCTTCCCACATAAGATTTGTGGTATTGGATCATATAGAGTACAATATAGGAAGAAACTTTGTAAAATAAATCGATAAAGCAAGAACAGTGTTGTTATGACCACGGTAACCTCCTTGGAGGCTAGCTCCACAATCCTGACACTTTCTAAAGGGCAATTGGTTGTATGAGAACAAGGAACTAACAGACCTAAAAATATCACTTGGTTCCTTTTTCAACTTAACTGCAGGACCCTTTGTTTAATTTCCTTCATGTCTTTCCCTTGTCATAAAAGATTTTACTTCCTTGCCCAATGTATTTCTGTTTTTGCATCTTAAAGATGCATTCGGATACCACGTCACAGCCCCCAGGATGGTTATAACAAGTGTTTGGGAGAATTTGGAGGAATTAGAACCCCTATACACTGCTTCGTGGGAATGTAAAACGGTATAGCCACTTTGGAAAAAAAAATTGGCAGCTCCTCAATTATTAAACAAAGAGTCATCATATGACCTAGAAATTCTGCTTCTAGGTAGATAACAGGAGAAATGAGAAAACAGGTCTACATAAAAACTTGTACAAAAATGTTCATAGCAGTATTATTTGTAATAATCAAAAATAGGGCTGGGTGCAGTGGCTCATGCCTGTTAATCCTAGCACTTTGGGAGGCTGAGATGAGTGGATCGCCTGAGGTCAGGAGTTCAAGACGAGGCTGGACAACATGGAGAAACCCTGTCTCTACTAAAAATACAAAAATTAGCTGGGTGTGATAATGCACGCTTGTAGCCTCAGCTATGCGGGAGGCTGAGGCACGAGAATCACTTGAACCTGGGAGGCAGAAGGTGCAGCGAGCTGAGATCGCACTATGACACTCCAGCCTGGGTGACAGAGCAAGACTCTGTCTCAAAAAATAAATGAATAAATGAAAATGGAAACAGCTCAAATATGTATTAACTGATAAATGAATAAACAAAATGTGGCATATCCATATAATGGAATATTATTCAGCAATAAAATGGAATAAAGGGCTAGGCACAGTGGCTCATGATTGTAATCCCAGCACTTTAGGAGGCTGGGGCTGGTGAATCACAACGTCAGGAGTTTGAGACCAGCCTGTCCAACACGGTGAAACTCCATCTCTACTAAAAATACAAAAATTAGCTGGGCGTGGTGTCATGCACTTGTAGTCCCCAGCTACTCAGGAGGTTGAGACAGGAGAATTGCTTGAACCCAGGAGATGGAAGTTCCAGTGAGCTGAGATCACACCACTGCGCTCCAGCCTGGGCAACAGAGCGAGACTCCGTCTCAAAATAAATAAATAAAAATAAAGAAGTCCAACAATGTTACTATTCTCTTTCTAGCAATGGTAACAATTATAATAACTCTTATATGGCACCTATTACCTGCTAAGGACTCTTCTTTTTTTTTTTTTGCTAAGGACTCTTCTAAGCACTTTATGTATAGTAATGCCTTTAATCTTCATAGCAGCCCTGTGTAGTAGATACCTTTATTACTTTTATTTTGTAGATTAAAAAATTGAGGAAAAGATTATTTAAACCAACAGGCCATAGATTATTCAGCCAGAAAATGGTCGAGCTGAGAGTTTCTGCTCTTAAGCAGTATGCTAAACTATAATAATGTTTCCAGCT